TTTGAGCAGTCTAGTGGTCGTCTTACGGAAACATCAACAAAGCTTGACGACGCCAGTAAAGCCGCGGAAGAGAGCGAAAGGTATTAATCTTACGACTGGGCTTCTTCTTACAAACTGCTGCAAATCTGCATGCTTTGTTATGTTATCTGCATGTATTTAGTGCACGCTGGCGCTTAAATAATCAACAGGGTGCTGATGAGATGAAAATCAGTGAGTTAGAGCGCTCTATTGAGGCTGCAGCAGCGGCTACACAGGAATCGGTGTGGAAATATGAAGAGGTATTTGCATCTCTGCTACTGCTTGCCATTAAATTGTGATCTGTTTGTGGCATGAGAGAAAAATATTGTAGTAGGTTTATTTAAATAAGAGCACTTTTTAAATTAAATTTAATCGCGCGTGCAGGAATCGAAAAACTCTTGAGACCAGGTCTATTTCTGACGATGAACGAATGGCTCAGCTGGAAGAGCAGGTAAAGGAGGCAAAGTACATTGCAGAGGATGCCGAACGAAAGTATGATGAAGTAAGTGCATCTAGTTGTGTAGTTTTCATGGGTGATTTATGCGAGTTCATCCATCCCTTTACGTGATTGGGTTTTAGTGTTGGATCTTGCTATCGTGTTCTTTATATTGTCAATTTGCTTTTCAGGCTGCCCGCCGCTTGGCGGTGACAGAGGTCGATTTGGAGCGAGCAGAGGCCCGCCTAGAAACGTCGGAGAGGTAACCTAGAGGACAGCGCAACACATGGCTGACCTTTTGCTCGTCTCCTGCACGCGCATTTGTTCCTTTGTTATTTTTTGAGCACATTGCACGACTTCTCATAGCATGCCTGTCATTCTCTCCCCTTACTCTTTGGCATTGAAGACAATGAAGAGGATTGTTGCTGCTCAGCAAACTTTAGCTATCGCCGAGGAAAAAGCACAATCGATTGAAGTGTAAGTCAATAAAAATTTTCCATAGGCAAATTTAAGACTTGATTTTGATACGTCTGTGCACTTTTCATGTTATGTATCGAAGGCACCTTTTTTAAGCCACTTTACTTATTTTTATGCTCAAGTGGCAGTCGTACGATTGAATGTATGGAAATATGGGGAGTTCGCCTTAATATATGGCACTTTGGTTGTAGGTGTGCAAAAACCCTAGAGGATCAGTTGTCCACCATCGCTGCGAAATTGAAAGCCAAAGAAATTGCACGTGATAAGGTGATGCATGCTTTTCTTTGCTTTTGTCATGCTTGCCTAGCCTTGCATGGGTAGCAAACCGTCCCAAATCTTAGTTTACACGAAACTCAAGTAACAGTAATGACTTTTAGCAAAATCGTTGAACTTGAGGAAGAACTGCGCATTGTTGGTAACAACATGAAATCTCTCGAAGTCTCCGAGCAAGAGGTAACAGTTGAACCAGTGGCTGGTGTTACTAGAAGTAACTAACTATTTCTGATTTGGAGTTTTGGGAAGTGGCAAAGTTTTGCACAGACAGAATAATAATTTCTATGCGTTTTTTGGTGGTTCGCGCCATTTGCATGTCTGAGTGGGTGCTGCTTGGTCTATTTCCAATTCTGCTGTTGTTAGTTGGGTTGTGTTCGCAGAACTCAGTGTTATTGTAAGTCGTGGTCTCTGAGTACTGTAAGATTGCGTTACTGTATTTTGGTCGACATCAGCCATGTTATCAGCTTCCATTTTTGCACTGATGTCTATCGTTTTCGGGTTGTTTTTTTTGGTTTATCTCCTTTGCGAATCGTAGTCTCTCCAACGCGAGGAAAGTTACGAGGAAACCATTCGAGATTTGACAGAGCGCTTGAAGACGGTAAGGCTAATTTCGCTCCGTAAAGGACACAACGACTTGTTCACCCATTTTGGATGGATGGTGCATAGTTCTAGCCTTATTTGCTCCTAACACTGAATGTTTTTTTGTCTTTTGCATGACCGCATGCGCACGTTAACAATGGCTATGATTCAACGCGTAGGCCGTCGAATTGGAAGAGATGTATTTGAAGCGTCTTAATGTCTTACGGGACCAAGTGAGGGAAGTGAGTTATTTAGACTTTTCAGAACCATGATCAGACTGTTGGAACAACATCAAAAGAATTTGGGTAATAGCTATTAGGGCTGTAGGAGTAAGTATTCAGTTAAGGTCCATTTGCCGTGAATGCGCATTTTAAAATTTGCATCTTGGCCAGCCCTTAGCATTGTGTACCTGTCGCATGATTTGTGCTTTCGGCAGCGTCTCTAGTCCACGCGCACTGTGGCATGCGCGCTCTCAGTATCTGTACATGAAGGACTAGAAATTTGACCAGTTTCAATAATTACTAATGTAGGCCGAGCAGCGTGCTGCCGAGGCTGAACGTCAGGTGTCCAAACTCCAAAATGAAGTCGACCGCCTTGAAGGTTTGTTTTTGATTGCCGTCCGCTAACGTATGCTTATTTTTTCCTCTGCTTGCCTGTCTGCGCACGCATCGCTCGTCTCGCATGTTTATCCAAGGCCGAGTGCAGAGCAGAGGACGCAGAGGCCGTGTCCAAACGGTATGAACAGGAAGTACAGCGTGTCAAAGGTTAGTTTTATTCTGTCACCTCAAAAAGTATTAAAGCAAATGTGGTTATGACTTATGCTTCACACCCATCGGGCAATGTACAAACTGATTTTGAAAGTATAACATGTGTAGAAAGGAGGTAGCATCGATCACTGCTTTACATTGCCACTTATTTTTTTAGATACGCTTTTCTCGGAGAACAAGACCTTTACTCTTCTCCGCAAAGAAATTGATTCTGCACTGGACGAGTACCACTCAATTTAGGGGACTTCTCGAACCAGCGTCCCTTTTGTTAATTCCTACATCGCATGGTTGTCCATTCCTTTAGGTGGTTCGCTCCGCATCTAGCATGGATTACTTAGACTTCTTGCCTTGCATTTCCTTCCTGTGCTACTAGTCATTACTTTCGCTGCTAATTTGAACGTCGCTTGTTTCCGGCCCTAATTCCATGCTTGCTTTGGTTTTGTACTTTGTCCACTGTTTGCTGCTTGCACAAATTCTTGATGCTTCTGCCGGTTTCGCATTCATTTCAACTAAAGGCCACTGGTTTATGCTGTTATGCACTTGGACGAGCCAAATGTGTTGTTGATGGTTATGAAGAACCACGTAATCAGTGTGGTTTTGAGCTTGCGCCTCGACCAGTTCGTGTGCGGTTGGTTGTGGTGCCGCTTAGGATGTGGGATTGAATCCAGAGGAGGGGAGGGGTCGTTTTCTTCTGTGTCTTTTTGGGCTTTTGATACACGAGTCCTGTGTATTTAAGCTCAGTTTGAGGCGTTTTACACAGCGTCTCCGAGCTCGAAAACATGATGGGGTGTGTTGACCGCACGTACTGGAGGGAGAGAATAGGTGA